ACGGCATAAAAAATTGTCCTTGGTCAATGGGTGATTCTCCTTGACACTGAATATAATGCGCATTTTGCATTAAAAGGATCAACTCCAGATTTTGTGTCATTATAAAAGTGAATAATTTCAAGCTTTTTGTCAACAAAATCACAGTGGTGCATACTTGATATTAATATAACACTTTAAACTTTCTTTCTTTTTTTTTTTTTTTTGGTACTGGGGATTGAACTTGGGTCTTTGCACTTGCAAGGCAGGCCACCGAACCGCTGAGCTAAATCCCCGGCCCAAAACTTTTTTATTTGATACATATGAAACTAATGGGCTGAGAGCAGAAAATCCAAACACAGATAACTGAGCAATTAATTTTTTAGTAGGTAAAATTTCAGTTGGTTCAGCTTTCTTATTGTTTCTTCAAAGTGCCTACATCAGTCAAGTTTTTCTCTTTAAAATTCATCAAGAAGTTCCACTGCATACCAATTGTTGCCAGTAGTATTACTTTGAGTACCTTCAGTGAATTCCACAAGCCTAAGAACAACTGTTGTAGGATTTGGTGAGGTGAGTTTGGCCATATTAGCTGTCTACCTCAGCACCAGCATATATTTCTGCTTTTAGCATATAATGAGTCTTAGCCACAGGTGAAATCTCTACTTTCATGCCATCTTTAGCTGGGTTGTTAGGCATAAATGTTTTAAAATTGCATTTTTATTGACACATACTAGTATCTCATCTACAGTTAGGTGAAATCCAGAAGAATACCAAGACTTTGACCTGCTGACAAATTCATCAAATAAGTTGGAGACAGCAGCTCTCTTTCTCTTCTAGTTTTGACATTATCAAATCTAAGGTAACATACTAGAAATGAAAATTGAGCTAGACTCATAGTAGCATGACAAAATGGGTCTTCCTGTTCCATCTGTTGCCCATTAGAATGGGTATCTTCATGTCCATACTTAAAAAAGCCTGGGATTTAGCTCAGTGGTGCTGCCACCTGCCTTGCAAGCACAAAGATCTGAGTTCAATATCTGGTACCAAAACCAAAACAGAACAGAACAATAAAAACTCCATAGACACTTAGTGCTTTGACACTAGGAAAAGAAGTGACACTGTATTTACTATTAGGGTCCTCAGGACCCAGTATGTCCTTCCCTATAGAATTGCAGACATTGAGCATGAATCTCCTGTGTGCTGAATCAAGTACTTCTCATCCTGGGACACTAGAAACGCTGAGTAGGCAACGTTGATAAGAAGCACAGCACTTTTAAAGAAACGTTGGGTCCTCAGGATCCATTGTAGTAGCTGCGTGTTAAAGTTGGATCCTTCGTCTGGAGGTGCTGGGCTAAGCCCTGGCCAGGATAAGGACCCTTGTCAGCCACCTCCCCTGCATCTCCTGCTCTGGCCACATGCACTGTATAGCTTCTCCCTCAATCTGGGTGATGCTGTGTGGTTCCAGCTCTTTTGAGGTCCCAGCTGCCTTCAAGGCCTGGGCAGACAGTGTTTCCTCCTTGGTCTGGTCCCGGCTCTTTCCAACTGCCCCAGAACGCCCCACCCCTGCTGCCTAAGAATTCACACTTACATATTTACACTTAAGGCCTACTTAACAAAGTTAAAAGGCATGTCTTTCTCCCATTTCTTAGTCTCTTCTTCACCTCTGGCATTGCATTTGGAATGACGAATGTATCACACAATAAACCTGTTGAATGACCAATTAAGAATGGCCTAGGAAATGACCTTTTATTTGAGTGAGCCTTTGGAGAGGAATTGTGCTTGTGTTCAGAACTTCCTGGGAAGCAACTGTGTCTCACAGAGGAGGTGGGACTTTGGTGCCTGGCAGGGAGAAAGTCTGCCTCTCCTTCCTTGTTCTCACAGGGCAGTGGCAGGGCAGTGTTCACTATCTTCTGTTGACTGTAAATAACCAACCCAAATAGAGGAAACCCCAGGCACAGGTAAAATTCCACCCTAAACAAAACTGATAGGGACACAGCTCTAGCTAATGCCATTAGAAATCAAGGAGAAAGAAAGAAGACAAAGACAGATGAAAAGAAAGAATCCTGTCCTTACTGAGAAATAATTGAAACCTACTCCAGAAGACCACAATGGTTCTACAGAAAGTGGCTTTACTGGAAAGTTTTTAAGAATTCAAGTCTTCTGGCATGGTTAATTTGAAGGCAGTCATAAATCACACTGATTGAAATACCACTAGTGGTTCATGACATGACCTAAGGTTGGCCTGCTCATCTGTGGAGTAGAAGGCTGTGACCTTCTTTTGACTGAAATATGACATAACTAATATTATTGTGAGCTGTTGACTTAATTTAACATAATTATATCCATATAATCACCTACCAGGTCTTTTTGAAATCTGTTAGATAGGGTAGAAGTTTTGGAAATTCTCAGACCACCACTTAGTTTCAAGATGACTGATGTGATAAATTTAAGCTCTACTTACATACCTCACTGATGCCAAATTGGTTTCTAAAAAATTAGGCAATACATTTTCAAGTTAAAAGGAGACAAATTCGGAGTATCAGGTAGCCAGCTGCAGAGATCTCAGCAATGGCAGGAATGATGAAAAATGGGGCTGACAGTACCATAGAATGCTTCAGACCTCCTGTGAGAAACTCATGAGCTTTGAGTTCATTTTCTCAGAGAGCTGCTGGATTTATGGTTTATCCACAGCTCAAGCAGTCTCTGGAAGTCCCAGCAAAGTAACAGGAACTGGGGGTGGGGACTGGGTGGATGCGTGGAAGGGAAAGGAACCAATATACTTTTGACACAGAATCCAGTGCCATGGGCGACAGAGACAGCATGGTATTACTGTACTTGAAAATTTAAAAAATAACTGTTTCCCTCTAGGAAGTTAAAACTCCTCTTTGGAAATCTAATAATGGCCTTAAAAGTTTACTGAGGGAAAGGAAGGAAGAGGTTGAGAAAAAAGGAAGGTAGCAGGAGGGAGGAAGTGCTCTGTGTACGCCCCTTTCTGCCTTCCTCCCTCCTTCTGCCCTCCCCTTCTTCCTTTCTTCCTTCTCCTCCCCTCCCCCTCTCCTTCCTTCCCTTCCCTTCCTTTCCTCACTCTGTTTACTCTTTAGCAGTGAGCACTCAACTGACCTCCAAAGAAAGGGGACACAAAACTTGTTTTTTTTTAAAGTCCTGTGTCATAAAATGAAGAAAAAACCCATTGAGATCCTGAGGTCATGATGAAATCTTGATACTGATGGTTTTTTTTATATTAACTTATTTTTTTTATGCCAGTGTTTCTCAAAGTAACTCATCTTCCCATATTTTGACACAGCCAAGCAATATAGTCAGTTTAGTAAAGATTTTATATTATCCTCCTAAATTGTAGAGGCCGCCGAAGGTTTTATTCTAAAGGACTGGGCTTTGTGTGACCCTCATCACTCACATACATGGCCTCTGGCAAGAAAAAAATACCTGCACCCACAAAATCAATCATTTTCATGTAACATGTAAGAATAACAAGTATCAATTTTATTCACAAATAAAAATGTAACAAACTACTTGTGTAGGAAAATGACATTTACAAATTCCAGTATGCAAAAAGTTATAATGAATTCTAAATTGATTCAAACTACCTCAAAGCAATGATGTTTTTGTTCCTTTCATTTTCTTTTCTTTTTCTTTGCCAGCACAGAATCTAAGTAACAGCAACATTAACATTTTATCTAAAGTAGAAAAGTCAATATTTAAAAATATGCTCTATATACACAAAATTTAAAAATCATGATCTGATGTGGCTATTCTTGAAATCCTTGTAGCTTCTGCACTGTGTGAGCCAGCAAAGCTGCCCTGGGCTGTGTATCACTCCAAGCCGGCCTCTCCACATCAGCACTGTAGCAGCAACGCTTATGGTGCAGGGCAGGATGTTTCAATAATGGGAAATGCAAATTGGATTTTTTTTTTCTCAAGTGTTTACAAAGAGTGTAAAATACAACACTAATATATGTTTCTAGAGTAGATAGTGGTAGGACGCCTCCATCTTGATTAAAAAAAAAAAAAAGCCCAGGATTTTTCAAATGCAGCATTCAAAGGAAATCAGTTTTCTACCCTAAGCACTTCTCTACTGATTAAAAGTGATGTTTCACTATTTGGGACCAAAGTCTCATTCCCATCAGTCTGGCTTTCTTGACAAGCATCTGTGTTTGAAGTGAATCATGGCTGTGCATATGGAAAATATATTCAGGTTACACAAGGAAACACAACCCTATCTACTTTGATCACCCTCTTGTCATAATAGAGATGATCAGATTGCAAACAGTGACAGACGCATGTAAATTGCAGGGAAACCACTCAAGGAAACTTGACTTTCATTTTCATAGATGCCTTGTAGTCAAATCCTAAATATTTTATAAGAGTTTCCTAAAGGCAATTCTCATAAGAGTTAGTGACTACCAAAATTTAGGAACCACTGCATCATGCAAAAAAGAAAACAGAGAAAGAAAAGAAAAGAAAAAATAGTAAATCAATTTTAACTGGGCAGTAGGATGGTCTGAAAGATTCTGGGCTTATTTCCTACTTCTGGTAAAGGAACTGAAGTCACTGAGAAGAAATCAGACACAGGCAAACCACTATACCCACATTAGCACCTAAAATTATGTGGAGAGAAGTGGCCATAGGGAGGAAAGAGGGCTCACCAATTTTACTAATCTCTTACAAAGAGAGAAAATGTTGGGATTGTAAGTGAGAAGATAAAAGTGATGTAAGAAAAACAAATTAATTTTAACTTTCAGTTTGAATGTTAGGTAAAGGGCAATTTGCAAACAAGTACCTTAGTGGCTCTTGAACACATGGACGTGTAGAGGCCTGTTTATTTTTAAAGTGTACATGTGACAGAGCTAATAGTAAGCAGTTAAAAGACAAAGACAAAATCTAATCATGTAGGTTGGAACAGGAAAATAATTAAGTCCTACTCAATTAAGTCTGCTCTAGGGCATAAAGATTAAGAACAAATGAGGCATCCCATGCTGCTTCCTGACTGGACTAAGTTGTTGTGGTTTTTTTTTTTTTTTGCCCTAGGACAAACGGGTACAACATACAGAAGGCGGAATACTTTTACTGAAGTATCAGACACTTCCATCCAACGTCATCTGACCACAATAGATTATGTGTTGAAAAATCCTAAAAGATTAGAGGGAACACTATAATGTCCTGGTCAAACTATATTTTGCCAGTTCACTTAAATAGCACCTATAAGTTGTGCTTTTTCTTCTGGTTCTAATAGCAAGTGTATTATTGCCAAAGACTACTTCAGTAGTAGAGGAACCTGATATGCTGAAATTTCTAAAGCCTTTAGTATAACTATGTAGGCAAGGTCACTATGTGTATACATGCCTCTTTTCTATAAAAGAAATCCTGGATCTCCTGTGCTCAGGCCCAGGGGCAGATGTAACAAATGCTTCTATGCCAACTCACTTTAACATGTCTACGCTAACCTGTGCATCCATTTTCTAGGATACATATGCTAGTGGTTTTGAAAGCGGGGTGAAGGGCTGCCCTTTCCAGACCACATTGTGTAATCCAGGGCCTTTTCCTACCAGTACCAGTGATCCATGAGCTGGAGGCCAAGGTTAGAAGCATAAGTTCTGGAATAGAGCTGTTCTCCTCCAAAACAGCTAATTCCTGGTTAGGTCTCTTGACCTCATCTCATAAACACAAGATTGAGGCAGGTAGTATGAAGTCAGTTCTAACGACCCAAGCCTATTGGCCTTAGATGATGACAAAGTGATCTTCCCCAACAGACATACTCATTGTCGAACCCATTTATATAAAAACCATCAGGCATCTGATTTGGACTTCTTAGCAGGATAACAGGCTGTATCAGATTATTTTTGGAAAGAAAATGTCAGTGACAATTTACACTCTGGGTTGCTAGGCTTGTAAAATCATATTCACCGTGAAAATAAGCACAGATGTCCGCTGTGTCTTGTTATATGTCCATAACTACAAACTTAACTCAACAGTTTTTGAAGTCACTCTTATGTCCAAGAAGCTTTTTATTCAAGGAAGGTGCCCAGGTTTACCAGTCTGCCTGGAGTCTTTTCTTGCTTTTCATCAAGATTTCATTTTACAGCTGATCTGGCTCAGAAGCAACTGGTTGAAAGGCCTAAGGCTAAAGGCTTAAATTGCCATCAGTTTGGTTCAGATTTATTTTTCCCCCCAAAGCCTTTGCAGGGTCCAGACTGCTCAGTCCATAAGTGTAACAGGGTGGTGCCCTTTATGGTCCACACACATTTCTTTCGCAGGAAGATGATGCCCTTTAGGCTTCCTAAAACATCAACAAAAGAAAAGCTTCAGAAACAGTACTTTAAAAGTTAAAGCTGCTATATTATAACTACAAAATTATTATGCAGTTCTATCTGATAATTTAATAACAATGGGCAAGAAGCTCAGTTAGTGGCATTCAAATATCTACTCATGTACTCAGAATAAATAAAAGTTTTTGTAATAAATCACAGTTGATCAATATTTGCCAATGTTACTTAAAAGATAATAATGTAAATGACAGCAATCACAAGGAATTAATGAGCAATTCTTCTGATGATTTTCAATCTGATTTAAAGCTTGTTTCTTCTCTACTCGGCTCCTTTAAGGCATTTGTAGGTAATGACTGCAGGATTCTGTATGCCTTTCTCTCAAAGAACAAAGACGATAATAAATGGTGTCATTCTTTATCTGCCAGTTTAGTCTTTGGATTTAAAATTACAGATTTTGGATTAAATTTTGGATTAAAATTCCAAATTACTTAAGGGCATTTAGAAATAGTTTGGGAATGAAATTTCTCTTCTAATGATCTTCCTAGAATATTCAGAACCTTCATAATGCAAATATCCTCGGTAAAGTAGAACTGTTTGACCTGCACATAGTACAAAAGGTCTTAACATTATCTTCACCTCAATGTAGAAATACAATGGGTTTTTTTCTTTCAGTGTTGCCAAAATAAAATACTCATTTTTGCATTAAAAACAAAAACCAAAAAACCAAAAGGTACTAACCTCACTTAAGGAAGGAACAGGGCAATGGCCAACTGAATATCACTGGAAAGGAGTTTGCTATGGTTTAAATAGGCAATGTCCCCCAGCGCAGCAATATTCACAGGTGGGGCCTAGAGACATGACAGTGCTAACCTCATCAAATGGTTAATCCAGGGATGAGTTCATCAGTTGAATGGGCTAGTAGGAGGCGGGACCTAGCTGGAGGAAATAGGTCACAGAAGGCATGACTGTGAAGGGTGTATCTTTTTTCTGGTTCTTCCTTTGACTCTGCTTCCTGGCTGCCCTGAAGGTCTTTCCACCATGTTTCTGTTTGGAGCCAGCCAACCATGGACGAAACCTCTAAAACTGTGAGCCAAAAAAACCTTTCTCCTTTTAAGTTGCGTATTCCAGGTATTTTGTACCAGCAAAGAAAGGTGATTAATAAAGAGTAAAAGCTTAATTACATGTGTTAACCATCCACTAATTTATTCACTGCTCATTGGCACCAATGACATAGATATATTTATGGAAAAAATTCTTTTTTGGGTCTAAAGGTCTTCCCTAGAAATAGAAACATCTGAAGTCCTTTCAGAATGACAGGAGATGGTTTCTATCAAATATGTTGATCAACTGATATAATAATAACCACATTAACCCCTATGGTGAAAGGCAAACCTCACTTTGCCAATATGAAAAAAATAGAGGTTTTAATAGATTGGAAAAGTAGAACCCAGTTCTCTCATATCCTTCCTAAAATTCTTTCTATTTCTTTATGTTGATACTTAAAATAATGGTTAGATAAATAATGTCAAGAGACACTTCCTCTAAACAGGCTGCTTTCATTCTGCCAAATGTCCCCACAAATGGTGCTGCAGAGACCTCAGTTCTGCCCCTCCTGGAAGATGTGTAGAGGTAAAATTTGATTATATTTAGTTATACAACTAAAGACGGGTCTTATAGCTATTCACTTTATCCTGAACCATCATTATCATAATCAGATTCTGGGTGGTCTTGAGCCAACCAAAGGAAAATTTGTGTGTAAAAATAGTTTTTGGAAATAAACATATCATACATTCAAAATTATGGCCTCATACCAAGTAAAGACAAGTGCCATTTTGGGTAGAGCTGTCCTTTATAAACCCCAAAACAGAAATACAGCATTCTAAATTCTGAATGAGCCCATGTTATGGCTAAACCTGGACTTGAGGAATGGATAAAATTAATGAGAGGCCCTTGCTGCTGAGGCTTAATTCTTATAAGAGGTAAATGTGCTCGCTACCTTGAAAATGAGTCTGTTAGGGGGAAATACAAATTGCTTTTTAGAATTTAGTAGTCTAAAAAGCCAAAAACTAGTTAAGCACTTGTCTAACCCTTAACATAAAGAAAAAGCCCAAGCGCCCAGAGGTTTGGATTTGTTACTGCCTCCTACTTTCCTTTGAAGGTTAAGGTTAATTTATTACATTTTACAGGGTCAATGGAACTGAAGAGAAAGTGCTTTTCAGAATCTGGAAAAGATTATCTCTGAAAATGGGCTCAGGGCTGGGGATGTAGCTCAGTGGTAGAACACTTGGTTAGCATGCATGAGGTCCTGGGTTCCAACCCCAGCAGCACACGCGCACGCACACGCACACGCTCACACACACACACACACACACACACACACGACTCAAAATACTACTTAGTGCTTTTCACTGTGAGGGAAAAATTGAAATGGTTTTCACTTTAACATTTCCCTTTCCAGATTCAGAATCTGCACCTTAGATTTACTTGAATTACCTAATAATTATAAGATAAAACATCTTGAAAAGTTAATTAAAATCTGTCTGTAAATCATATTGTGCAAACTGAATTCAACCTTTTCTCATTAGATTCATTTTAAATGTAATTATAACTTTTTTCATAATTTGTGTTGAAAACATCTTTATGTACATGATGACAATTATCATTGCTTGTCTTTGAAGAGGAATTAATATGCCATATGATGTGGATCTTAGAAACTAAATCCCTCTAACAATACAAACAGAAAAAGGTGGACAGTGAGCTAGTTCTGATGTTTTGGTGTCCAGAAGTTTCACTCCTTAGTCTCAGCCATTTATGTCAGAAACTTAGGGACAAGCTGCAAATCTGAGGTGAACAGTAATTCTCTTTCCTGATGAAATTCTGGAAAGCTGTTGCTGGTCATCTGGTAACACAATCACCTTTGTTTCTCAGTCTTTCCCTGACAATGGATGTACTGAGGATTCAACGGGTCAGGGTGAAGCTGACTCACTCTGGGGAGCTGGCAAGGCATCTGGTTCCTTGGTTGCTGAAGGGGTGAATTCCTGCCTTCTTTTCTGCACCCTCTGGGCTGGTACAGGACTTGTCACCTGCTTGTGGGTACTGAGCCTTCTCAGCCACTAAGTTTTGTGGGGCACAGTCCATTCTTGAGACTTCCACCTAGCTGGGAAAATTCCTAAGTTTTTCCTTACTTGTGATCATGAAAGTTGTACAAAATAGAATGGCTCAAAAGGATAAAATCAGTAAACAATCTTTCTTAGCCACAAGCAGAGCTCAGATGTATGTAGTTTGTTTTTTAAAACTGCCCAATTTGTTTTACTTCCCTTCATTTACATCTTTGTATTTTCCCCATTTTGAGACCAAAAGCAGTTTTTTCCTTTTCTCCAAAGCTAACAAATTTTTTCCTGTAGAGTTTTCTATAAATTTTGTAGAAAATTTCTTTCTTTCTTTTTTTTTTTTTTAGAAAAATTCTTTGTGGTTAAAGAAAGGATGGCAGATTCATATCAACATGTAACCTAGGTGCTGATTATAAAAAGCCCACCTCTGCATCACCCCAAAGTGTGACTTTGGGCCATTTTTTGTATACTACAATGGACCCTTGTCTTACGAACTGCAGTCCCCTGGGTACCATAAGTCAATTCATTGCTTGTACTGAAATGAGGCTTGGCCTTACCTGGAGGGATATGGCTAGACTCACAGGCTCACTGCCCTCCGGATCTAGCTGGCTTCTAGTAGGCAGTGCATCCTGAACCACTGTAGGCTCTGTCACTGTGCTGCTGTGCCTAGATAAGTCAGTAGTGTCTGTGAAATCTGCAGAGTGAGCTTGAACTGAAACAGCTCCACAGACCAAATCCTGACCACTGTTTGAATCCAAAGATGTTGAGCTTTCATTTTCTGGACCGAGAGAATTAATATCTTCTCCAGTGAGTTCAGGATAAGAGTCACAAAAAGAGATGTCATCGTCGCTCATGGGATTTTGCATCAGAGGACAGGCATCGGAAAACTCGCCACAGACGGAGCGTGATAGGGATGCAAAGAACGTCGGCATCGTCTCCCCGACTGGAGCTGCGTTTCTGAACACACGTTCAAAGAGTGTTTTATTCTACAGTGAGAAATAACGCTACTAACAAGCAGCATTTCAGCTATGATTTTAAGTCTTCTGCAGGAAACAGCAGTTATGAAGTCAAAATTCTAGTGGTTCCTGTTGTTATAAACTTGCCTGAATATAGTGAATCCAATTAGTCCATTTGCTCTAAGACTGACTTCTACACCTATTTCTCATTAATATTTTTCATCCAATGTCTTACCCATGAACACCTCCAGTTTCTTAGGTCTTAGCTGAGTTTATTTGTTCTGAAATTCTAGAATAGTATGTCACCAGTACATGCAGGTTAAACACTATTTACAGATGACAGATGTGTCATGGAGAAAAGACAAATAAAATCAGTGGAAAGAAAAGTATAAAGGATATTGCACTGGATGTTAACAACCTTGAGAGACCTATCTAAATCCTGCTCACAGAATTGCCTCCATCCAACATACAAAATGTCATTAATGATACTTCAAAAGAGGTGTCCCCAAAGTTTCACATGAAAGTTGGCATATGAGTACAGGGCATACTTGCACTGGAGGACATGAAATTGTGACTAGAAGCTCCCAGTTACCTCTCTTGAAGGATGGCCGCAGAATGCACTCCACAGCCCAGGGCTGTCCGGTCGGTGCCACAAGTCCCCTCACAGCACAAGGATGGGATCAGATGGATGGGCCCTGTAGAAGCAGCAGAGCGTGAGGCACAGTGCTCTTCTCTGGGAACTTTCTCTTTAATACCAATTCGAAACTGCTCTTCTCTGAAGTGTGGCTACTTACCATAGGCCTGGGCCAAGTCCTGGTGGCACTGGCAACATGCCCTGTGAGCATATTCGCTGAGCTGGGGTCTGTCAAAACATGACAGCTCAGAACCACTGTACTGGATGTCCTGTGATCTCAGGGACCCTAAAGGAGAGGATAGGGATTCTGTCAGGGAACCCAATTTCCTGTCTAAGGCGGCCACATTGATACCATAGTGCAGAACAGTTCTTTTCTAGGTTTCCTTTTTTAAGCAAAAAGTCAGCTATCGTTACAAGTTTTGGTTATAGATGTTCCTTGATTTACAATAGGATTATGTCCCACTAAACTTACTGTAGGTCACAGGTATTGCTTTTAATCTGCCTAACCCAGGGAACAGCCTCACTTCCCTTCAGCATGCTCACAGCCTCCCATAAGGCTGCAGTTGGGCAAAATCACCCAGCACAAAGCCCATTTTATAGTATCCTGTTGAAAATCTCATGTAATTTTTGAAAACTGTACTGCAAATGAGAACCAGAGTGGCTGTATTTTTTTTTTTTTCATGTAAGCATGAAGTGAAAGATTGTTTAGCTGAACCTAGGTTAGTTGGAGACTGGCTGAAAATTCTTTTTGTTGGAGGCCTAAACATGAAATAATGGGTAAGAAAGCCCTGAAAGCAGGGTATTTTATTACCAGAGCTTAGAATGATTTCCATTTTTGCCTTGCGGCAAGGGGATATTACAACCCGTCAGTGTCCCTATGCAGTCTGCCTCCTCCAGTGAGGTCTGTTTCCATGGCCTCTACTCTTGAACAGATGCTGATACCTGTCCAGGTCTCCCATCAAACTCTTGAATGAAAATGATAAGAAATGCACTTCACCAGAACAGTGAGAAACTACGCAGAACTGGGAACTCACAGCGGGGTTTTTTCTCCATGAACTGTCTCTTACAGTAGATGACGCAGAGGATGAGGAGGGCCAGCAGCACGGTGGCCAGAGCACTGCAGATAACTGCAGCCAGGGCTGTGTCCCGAGGGCTGGAGGCTGTGGACGCGATCTTCACAAGGTTGACCTTGCTGGTACCTAGAAACCACAGGAGTGGGATCAGCACGTGCCTAATGACCCAGGATAGGCAGTGAGAACACCCGCGTCCATAGGCATCTCTAGCAACAGCCTTCATGGGACGGAGATAAAGAACATGCCCAAACATTCTTTCCTCTTCGAAGATTTTTTTGACACCGCATCTCTGTCCCCAAAATGTGTTGGCAGTACCTCCCCTATACTCCCACAGCACCACAGACACACAGCACTCAATGCATTCTGCTGCAGAAATCTTCCTTAACCAGATGAGAAAGTGGGGCTCTGTGATCTTGACCTTTGTGTCCCCACACCTTGGTAGTGTGGGGCACAAAGTAGTTTTGGGGTGAAAGAAATTACATCTCCATCCTCTGAAGACTCACTGACATGAACTGACAATAGACTAAGAGGAGGAAACAGGCACATTTATTTTTGCACACAGGAGCAAATGCTCAATAACCCTACAGGTTCAGATGCTTCTGTGCCTTTCTCCATGGGGGCGAGGGAGACAGGGATATCAGACACTGGGGTGGGGGACACTGCAGTAAATGATTATTAGGGGACGATAGGCCTGGAGACCAGGTACTGGTTGGTGAATGAGTCTCTTCAGGAACTGATGGGATCAAAAAGCAAAACAATATCTCTTGACAAAGACTATCCAGACATGGGGACATTTCTCAGTCTCCATTTCTGCACCAGTTTAATCTTCTCTGCTTAATAAATTCTCAGAGGGGGGATTTAATTCCATTGTACTCCCCTAGGTGGATGGGTTTTTAAGGAGATAAGGGAACATGAGAGAAGAGCTTGCCTGTCTAGCACAGGATGACCCCTAGGTGCGTGCAATTTAAAACAGCGTACCAGGGTGCTGCAATTTGGGGGCCATTCCCTGGCCTCCCTCAGTAGGCATTTAATGTCTCTTATTTCATTGCAATTGGTCTCTTTTCAGAAAGATGTAATAAGATACTCATGGGTAATTTAAAATTGTCCAGAAACCACATTTTAGAGAGGCAAAATTAGTTTTATATTTTACTTGACCAATATCTCGTAACATCTCAACACGTATTCAACATAAAATTGTTAATGACATCTTTTGTATTTTTTTTTCTACAAAAATCTCAAAATCTGGTGATTTTACGAGGCAGCCCACCTCACCGCAAGTGCTCAGGAGGCAGGTATGGCTGACAGCTACAACCCTAGCCACACCGGTGCAGCACGGAGCCCAAGGGCCCACAGCTCATGATCCAACGCCTCTCCCCTGTCCCAGCTACACATCCCCCAATAAACAAGGCTCGTGTCCACTGCATGACGTGAGTTAGAACTGAGAGAAACACAGAGGTTCATATTATTGAATTATACAAGCAGGATAGCTGGAGCCGTCATTCTGGGGTACAGGTCCTGGTACTTTCAGTCTCAACAGTTCTGGGTCACACAGATAACAGTTTCTTCACCTGAGCTGCACGCCTTAGGCTTGGATGAATAGGTGTCATAATTCAGTCATACATTTTAAAGGACAATCATTTGTAACCATGTTTAATACGCATTTTAGTGGGACTGGAAATTGAACCCAGAGCCTTTCAACGAGCTATATCCCTAGGAAACCCACCAGGTCTTGAACCTGTGATCCCCCTGCCTCAGCCTCCCAGAGTGCTGGGATTATAGGTGTCTGCCATCAACCTGGCTCATAAAATATTTTAACCACTTATAACTGTATAGAAATACTAAAATAATCAAATAAAACATAATAAATGCTCATCATATAGCAAGTTAAGCAAATCACACCCCTGACCTGATAGAGATTAAATCTAAATTTCAAACTTCTTTTACCAGTGGACAGAGTCACAAGGGTATGTATGGACACAGGCCAAATTGTACAAACACTGACAAATAAATAACTGTCTAGAAGCTTATGTCCCATGCAAATTAAAATAGCAGGTTACGCTGAAGGGAAGGTGACTCAGAAGTGAAAGTGTCATCTCTTCTGGCAAAAGGGTGAAGTTGTGGAAAGCCATCATCCCACAGTAGTCACGCACTTCAGAGTGAGGACAGGTCCCTTAGTTTAAATTCCCAGTCAGATAACCCAGCCCTGCCCAGCAACAGCTGCCATCAAATGAAGCACAAGGCATGATGTGAGCAGAAGATCTCAGTGTTCTTACATTGTAACCATTAGTTCATCCACTGGTAGGCATTGCCTATTCAGAAAAACCCTTGAAAGAATAGGGATTTCAGGTTAAAGCATTATCCTTTGAGAGGATAAGTTTTCACTTCAAAATCCATTGACTGTCCTACGCATTTAACCTCTCCAACTTCCTAGGACCTGATGTTTAAACACCAGCCAAACGAAAGATCCTTCTTCACAGAGAACATTCTTACAAAGGGCCCTGTTCAGACAGGCCAGGCTAAGAAGGAGAAAACTGGTGTCCAAAGTCTGGCTCTTGCCACTTTCTAACCTGGCTGTGAATAAGACTTTTACCTCTGAATCTCAGTTTTCTCCCAAAGAAGCTGAAACCATGGTTCATTCCACAGACAACACAAAGGTACCTTATGGAGTGAGGGCTGAGCTTTTCCCTCAGTGGCCACTTAGACCTCCAGCTGTCAGCTCTGGAAGTGGAAGTGTTGTGACAGACTGTCCCGTCCCGACTGGTGGTTTCTCCAGACAGAAAGGAGAATGGTCTCATGCTAACGACTAAAATTGACCAGGATGCTGTATTTCACTTCTCTGTGATTCCAGCTTCCAATGTGCACTGTTTTCCTGAGTCCAGAGTCATCCATCTGACAGCCTCCTGGACACCTCCACTGGAGTGCGGTATCCTAAATCTGACAGGTCCAAAAATGAGCTCCTCAGCAAAACAATGTCCACCTCCCCTAACGATACTGCTGTTCCTCTGCTGAACTGTACCTTCCTGTCATTGCCTCTTATCTCCAATGCTTTTTCTGTGCTGCTGCAAGGCTTACCCCCCGCCCCCCCAGCTGTCCTAGGCCCTTTCTCAAATGTGACCTGCTGGGTGAGGCTTCCTTACCAAACTGAAGTTGCAACCTATCCCATTACTTCTTCCCCCTTTCCCTGCTTCCCTCTCCTCCATGGCACACACTGCCACCTGAAATTTATGTATCTTTACTTGCTGGTGTTGTTACTCCCCCTCCACCCCAGTGGGAGGCACAGAATCCATCCTACTACTGCAAGCTCACCCAGCTGGGTATGGTTTGGCTGGCCCAGCAAGAGCCACGCTTTCCAGTCTGGGGGGAGAAGTGTGTGACGTGGGGGCATATTGCTTGCCCCTGACTTCCCTTTTGCTGAGAGTTGGATGCTGGATCTAGCAGCCCATGGAGATCTGATAGGTGAGGCAGCAGGACAGGATGCCAGCTTCTAAGTACATCCAGGAGAGCTGCTCGCCAGGCTGAGAAGCTCCACTGTCACAGAACAGAGGAAGACTTCTGCCTTACTTAGGCCACAGTATTCTGGGGCCTCTTTAATTACAGCAGCTTGTTCTTCACATAACCAACTTTATGTTCTAGCAAAACTGAGGTGCCACAGGGCAGAGACTTTTGTTGGTTTTGTTAACTACTGTGTTTACAATACAATCCTGGGCACATCTATGGTTGCTGATAAACAGAGTGAATGAGTGTTAATGAAAGAAACTGAAACACCCTATATGGTCCAAAAAGATGATTTAACGGGAACTTGTCCAAGTGATCAGAAGAGTCTATGCCACTGCCATGTGGCCCCAGCCCTTGCAATGAAGCTGTTGACAGTGTATCTGGAAACAGCCCGGGGCAGAGGACAGTTCTATCTTCATGCATAGTTTATGTTGTATTAGTTGACTATGGGTGAAGAGCAAGGGCTGCTCAACTGATCAATTCGTAAACCCTGAAGATTGGTGACTGCCTCCTCAGAACGACTATCAAAAAAAAAACTTAGCTTTCTCTAGGCAAGTTTTTTTGTTTGTGTGTTTGCTTTTGTGGTATCTGGGAATGAATTCAGAACTTTTCGCTTGCCAGGCAGGTGAAGTGCCCCTGAGCTACATCGCCAGCCCTTCAACGACTATCAAAAAAAACTTAGCTTTCTCTAGGCAAGTTTTTTTGTTTGTGTGTTTGCTTTTGTGGTATCTGGGAATGAATTCAGAACTTTTCGCTTGCCAGGCAGGTGAAGTGCCCCTGAGCTACATCGCCAGCCCTTCTCTAGACAAGTTTAATTAAAGCTCCATAGAGTCACCACCAAGTGATCTTACTTCAGTCATTGGACGCCAAAGGTAATCTTTTTTGGGGGGGCGGGTACCGGGGTTTGAACTCGGGTCCTTGCGCTTGCAAGGCAGGCCACCAAACCACCACTGAGCTAAATCCCTGGCAACATTCAAAGGTAATCTTAATGAGCAACACTTACAAAGTTATGGCTAATTTACCATGAGTGCCCAAAGAAACTAGAAAAGGGAGGACATTTGGCAGGTCAGTCACTTACAGCTATAGATATTTTCTTATGTCAAATAATGACTAGGTGATTAGGTCTAGATTTGAGTCCAGGTTTTAGAGTTTAACTCTAAAACTTACACTCTTTTTTCTTTTTAAATTATACTGTATTCTTTACAACCATTTGTATTATTGGCTCAAATTTGTATAGGCAAGTAAATTCTAGTTAGCCTGCTACTATACACAACATGACCTAATTTAAAACAGAACAGTGGCTTCACAAATTTAACTGGTCTTATCTCTAAGATTAAAGAGGCTACTGCATTTTATTATAGTAAAATAAAACACATGACTTTTAAACTTTATTTCTAAAATGTTATTTTTTAAAGTCTATAGGATATAATTAGATGAGTGTTGAATAAACATAGTAGAGAAGAACAAATCATAGATTAAACTTTCTTTTGGGGTTTCCACTTTTGAGATTTAACTAAAGCCTGCCTTTTCACCAGAGGATTTAGCATAGGAAAACAATACATCTGGTTCCCTGCTGTGTAACATGTCACTTTGGAAACTCTAACCTAATCGGAAATGCAAGCATTTTTATT